CTTGTGCCAGCTACTCAATCCTTTGATTCTTAACTGGCCTCCTCACCTCCTCATGGGAAGCTTGGTCACACACCTGCTCACTCTTTCTTTGAATACTATAGCTTGATTTCTGAGAAGCCATGAATGCATCCCTGCACTTCTTTACCTCATCAGAAGGTTACAGCATCCTGGGCTGGTGGGGAGACTGTGTCAGGCAGGAAGAGTGGCCCAAGGTTGCTGATGATACAGAGAGCTGCCTGGGGAAAGGCAGCCCAGTGAGGATGCAGGCAAGGAGGATAGGGTTCACTGGGGCTTTCTGTAGGTGGCTCCCAGGGGCTTTATCTACACATGGGTCAAGGGTTCTGTGTGTGGGAGGGGCTGCAGGAGGGAACAGGTGGGTGGATGGGAAGCTGACCAGAAATTTGGGGAGAGACAAGAACCAGGGAAATAGTGGCTGGAGCATGTTTATAGAATCTTTGGTAATCTGGGTATCAGTGTGGGGCAGCCTTTAACTCAGGGTCCAGGCAGTTGCTGTGCCAGAGAGTGGGGATACTGGGTCAGAGGCTGGGTCGCTGAGTCTAAAGGCAAACAGGTCATCTGAGGGGGGGGGGCATGATGGAGGCTGGAGGAAGGTCCCAGTGGGCAAGGTCAGGTTCCCCTGCACCTGGTCTTCATCCCCCCAGCTTTCTCAGGGGTGCTTCTCATGTTAGCAGCCCCAGCTACCCACCAGGGCTGCCAGACTGCTGTTGTCCTCTGTCACTGCTCAGGGCAGAGCTAGTTCCCATAACTCCCACCCCGAGGCAGCAAAGAGGCCCCGAGCTTACTCACTTGCCCAGGGCAGACTAAGAGGAAACAGATGACTGTGGCTGTGAGTTTGCTTCTCAGCAGCTTCTGAGTACACTGTGCCTGCTTTCTGAGCGCCAGCACTGGCGGCTGTCCCCAAGAGGGGTGTCAGCACAGGAAGGTGCCCTGGCCCTCGCCTCTCTCATGGGGAGGGAGGGGAGGCAAGATCAGCCCCTGCCTTGGAGTGTCCCCCAGAGCTGTCCACCTTCCTGTGCTCCCCCAAACTTCACATGAGGGGCTCACACAGAAGGTGCGAGCAGTCATTTTGATTATTCATTTATGAATCTGTTTGTTCATTTTCTTACTAAAAATATTTTTAAGATCTACACATAATTCAGACCAGACACCATTCTGTGAAGCTGACCTGGGTGATGAGTGTGACCTGAGTGTGTCCCTGCCACCCTGGGGCTCACATCTACCTCACACCCAAGACTCCTGTGGCTTGTGGTATGGTCAGTGGTGGCTAGCAGGTGCATCCCAGGCCACCTTGCAGGTGCTGCCAGGGGGAGCCCTGTGAACAAACCGTTTCTGCTTCCTCCAAGCCCAAGACTCCTGCTCCCATCTGCCCTGCAGCATTTGAATGGCAGTGGCTGAGTCTCTAGGCATTGTTAGGCCCATGGGTTGGACATCTGTGCCTGTCACCTCCCTGGCCCTGTCCTTCTTCCTGGTGCACTGATAGCCAAGTTCTTCTTAATCCTGTGTCTAGAACGAAGCCCCTGCCCACCTTGGGCATGTTGGTGATGAAGGCTCTGCTTGCCCAGCTCTGAACGAGGCTGTGGGTGCCTCCTGGGCAGCAGCCCCCATCTCCCGGACCCCAGGCACAAGGAGTTAGTGTTGAATCTAAATGAAGATTCCTGTCCACTCTGTGTAATGAACTCCGGAGTGCCCTATTTGCCCTCCCTCCCCACAGCAGGAGCCCTCGTTTTCAGTTTCCAGACTCAGAAGTCTTCAGCTGACTGACTCCGGTCCAGAAGCTGGGAAAGCCCACTCACCAGCTGCTGGTGCTGATGGATACCAAGCCTGGGTCCTAACTCTGGAGGCTGCGTTATGAGCCGGGCTGGTCTCTGCTCCCATTTCTTTCCCTCATCTCATGGTCGCCACACTCCATCATTACCGTTCCTGCATTCAGTCAACCCTGGTCTGAGCCCTGGATGGATGGTGCACGTAGCAGTGCAGCCAGCCCCCAAACACCTCAATACTCAGTGGAGACTGAACCCCTTCTCTTCTTACCAAGGTAAACTCCCTTGCACCTGGTGTCATGAGGCCCCTTGCTACCTTGTGGGCAAGGCCCCCCGACATCCTTAGACCTCTTCTGTCTCCACCAGCCATCTCCCTCTGAGTCCACACTCCTCCCTCTCCTGTCTACTCTGCTAGTGTAGAACAGCACTGGAAATAGGCCTATGACCCCCTCCTGTTTCACAGGTCCAGAGCTCTGGGATTTGGATCTCCCATTCCTTCATCTGGACTCTGTGTCCTCTCTCCTTCCTCCTAGAGCAGCTCATCCTGGCTCCTGGTCAGCTCAGGCAGTGGCCGGAGGAGTCCTGGGCATGAGACCGTATCCCACTGTAGGTTCTGGCTGGCTCAGCTGCTTGGCTGGACTGTGCTGCCCCTCAGGGGAACTCACATGGGTCCTGGCCTTCCTGAACATCTTCAGGTCTCGGGCAGAACCTGCCACATGGCAGATGGTCAGTAAATTCCCAGGATGGAGCCAAGCTAGTCACTGGGTGAGGCCTGATTCTCTAAGCACCTTCTCTGATGTGAGACCAAGGCCTGGGAAATCCCCCGAGAGTCCTCCCTGCCCACAAGCATCCCCTATTCCTTGAGGGTCCCAGTAAGTTTGTTTGAGTGTCCCATGCTGCCTTCCTGCCTGTTGTGGGCCAGTCGCTCCCAAGACTTGCCCTGCTGTGTGCTGCTGACTGCTGCCTGCTCACCACCACTCTCTGCCTCTTGCGACTCTCTTGCTGGGGTTCTTAGTCTCTAGATCCAGAGTCACTGGTCTGGCGCAGTCTCATGCCTGTCAAAGGCCTGTTGACCTCCAATTCTGGCTGGGTGGTGATGTGGACTTCTGGATCAGGCCTGTCTCCATGGCCTGCCCTGCCCTCTTCTCCATGTCCTGGTCAGAGGTATGACTTGTGCTGTAGGGATCCCTGTGTTGGGGTGCACAAGGTTACCTAGGTAGTTTTAAGTAACATCTGGAATGTTGTGTCCAGACAAGGTGTCTGTTTCTTGGCACTGCCACAAGTGAGGTTCCACACACCAGGGGGCCAGAAGTCTGAAGTCAGGGATGTGCTCCCTCTGCCTGTTCCTGGAAGAACCCTTCCTGCATCCCACACCTTCTAGTGCTGCTGGTGACACTTGGCAATCCGGTGTTCACAGCCCCAGGCGCTGCCTGCTCCATCAAGGGGACTCTCCCTGGAGCCCTCCTGTTTCCCTCTGGGTAAGGACACAGTGGAGGAGAAAGGCTGCCTCCTCCAGGAAAACCCTGTCTCTGCTCAGTGCCATCTGCAAAGACCCTTTTTCAGACGTTCACATTCACTGGCCCTCTGGATATGACTTCTAAGGGGTCGCAACCCAGACACAGCCTCTACGGCTCCTCCTCTTCTGCTCTTCCTGCAGATGTACCTGCTTCCCCAGCCTTATGTGGTATTCTACTTAATTATCCACAGGCTGGAGGACCTGGCAGGCCCTCATTCCCTATGGCCTCCACTGGCTTTGTGGTTTTACCATCACAGCCCATGTCCTTCCCTCCATGACACTGAAGGAAGTGCTGTGAGCCTCGGCCTCGACGCTGCAGTGGGGAAGCAGTGTCTGCTCTGCTAGCTCCATGACCTCTGGCCTGGGGGAGTACACATAGACTGGGGCCTCTGTCCCCTCTGCTCAGTGCCCTGTGCCCTAGGAGCTCCTGCTCCTCTGCATCCTGCCTAGGCCGTCTCTGCCACCAAGGATGCTCCCTGCACATGTCATGTGACGTCAGTGTGTGTGCCCTCCTCTAGGAAGCCTCCCTGACACTCCCCACTGGACTCTGGGAGCTGCGTGAGTTCCTGCCAGCTAAGTGTGCTTGGGGGCATGGAAGATGACAGGAACTAGCAGGGTCCAGGAGAAGTCAGAACAGGATCCTGCATGGTCTCCCCAGCCTGGGTGAGAGCAGAAGGGGCTAAGAGCGATCTCCATGAATCTTCTCATTAATGTTCTTTACTGAAGAGGTGTCCACCATCACACATCGCCAGGACCAAGTGCCAAGACCTTCAGTGTCCATGAGCCAGTGGAGAGTGAGCAGGCAGTGCTGAGCCTCTCCTCCATCCACCTTCTCCCCCAGGAAATGTCCCCTCCTCCTCCACCTTCTGTCCTCTCTGGGTGATATCCATCCTCCCCTCTGCCCACTCTGACCTGGGTGATGGCTCTGCTCCTCCTCCTCTGTCCCAATCCACCTGGTGAGGGACTCACTTCTTCATCTGTCCCTGAGGACCTTGGTGATGGGAGCCGGGCCGTGCAGGAAGCTGGGTGGCATAGCAGGTCTTTGGAGCCCCCATCTCCTGCATAGGAGCCTCCTCTACCCGAGGCTCCTTCCTCTGATTGTGGATCCCTAGTGGACTTGGACTGCTGGTGGACATCTGCAGGGTGGTTTGTGTGGGATCCCGACTGAGCAGATGGTCAGGTGTAGGTTGAAGCCAGTTCTCTAGCAGAGGCAATACTCTCTCTGTTTCCAACTGCCTAGAGTAAAAACATGGAGACTCTTCTTTAGAGTAGATTTTTGCACGTGATTAAATTAATCTTTCTGTGCATCAACATCACCAATGCAGAGAGCAGTCATGTATCCCTACTGGTCTCTTTGTGCCTTACCTTTTGTTGTTTGCTTACTTTACAAAGACTAGTTTCACATTGGGTAATTTGAAACATATTTAAAGTAGAGAACTTTCACTTTTTTTTTTTCTCTTAAGTAGAGTGGAAGTTTCAGCCCAGCCAATCTTACTAGTTTTATTTATAGCATTTTATTTTCTGAGAAAAGACAGGAAAAGTGAGTCCCTGCTTTCCCCCTTTGCCTCTGGTTCCTCCCAGTCCCCTCTGGAGGCCCTGGGTGGAGATGGAGGAGGGGTGGAGTTCAGCACAGAGGGGCTGGACTTGGACGCTGACTGCAGGTACTCACAGCAAATGGCTGGAGCAGAAGGAGGAGTTATGTCATTCTTCCGAAGGAATGAATTAAATGTGCGTCCTCGAGTGCCTGATTGACAGGGCTACTCCAGGGAAAAAGCATATAAGGCACCAGCTGCTGTCTGGAGCTGTGTCTACTGGACAGCTTGCCGGGGACCTCGGGCTGTCCATGTCCTCTGGATCTGACTTGGAATACTGAAATCAGACATCACCGCTGCTCTTTAATATACAGGTAACGATGCTTTTAAATTGCTAAGTCATTTCACTGGCTATAATTTTCAGAAAAGGCTCTTGATTTAAAAGTGGACAGAAGAAAAAAGTGTAATAGAGATCCCTACTTTAAAAGGGGGGTCGCCGCACACCCCTAGACAGCTAAGGCCTCTTCACGTGGAGTTTTCACCGTTGAGCTAAACTGCCAGGTACTCAGCTCGAAGGGCCAAGCTGTGCCTCCCTAGCCGGCTCTGTCCCTCGGACCTGGATGCTTTCCTGGGGGTACCTGCAGGGAGCCTGGGCAGACACTCACCTTTTCAGCTTTGGAATAAAAAATTTCCACGCTGAAGTTTGTTACTGAGGAGGGATCATGAGAAAGGAATTATAAGCAGTCCCCTGAAAATGTGAGAACTCTTAGAGATTATAGAGACTGCAATTCTAAATGTTAGGAACAGCTGAAAAAGTGTCCGCGTGCTATAGTAATTTACAGTAAGGCTGTGGGAAGTATCATTCTGCCAGGGAACAGAGCTGTTTGTAAGTTTGGGACATAATTTGCATATGAAAAGGGAGCTGGCCGCTTGCCAGGGACTGGGGACAGCGGTCTGGGTCTGGTCCCCAACCCGGGAGGCTGGGCTCAATCCCGGAGCCCCCACGATTCACCACACCGCTATTCATGGGGCTACACAAATACCTCTCAGCAAAGTCATTTTTCCACTTTGCTCATATAAAAAGAATTTTAAGATTCTTTGTAAACATCAACTCTATTCTGTTGTAGAAAGGCTTCGGAAATGCTCAGGAAAACATAACCACAGACACAGGATGAATCCAGTGGGGAGAAAGATTGGGCACAGGAGTGACAAGCGTGCCCGCTCAGCGTGGTGCCGCTCCCCAGTCCTGCACCCCTGGGTGTCACCGGGTCTCTGTGCCATCTACTGGGACCAGCCTTCATGCCTGTGTCCCCAAGATGAGAAGGGATTGTCGGGTGACAAGCGGCAGACCTCTGATTCTTTGTGAAACTCCTATTGTTTTAAGTATCAGCCTTACTTAGAGATAGGCAGACAGAGTTTGAGTTTGTCAGAACAGAGCTCAGTTTATGCCTCAGCCAGGACTTCTGAAGCTAGGCATCCTGAGCTGTGGAGTGTGTGTTTCCGGTGCCACTGTGTGAGCGGCAGAGAACGGGCTCCTGGAGCAGGGCTGGGGGTCGAGGATGCCTGCAGATGTGCCCCGGTACTTACCCTAAAGCTCTCTGAGGAGCTGACTGTGCGCAGAGCTCATTCTGTTGTTGAGTCCTGTAAGAGCTCTTTATAAAGAGGCCCTACCTTGGACTCTGTCACTCCTCCTGCCCTCTTGGGAGGTGAGGGCAGGAAGCACTCACCAGTGCCAGTGTGTGCAGTGCTGAGCAGCACACAGCGAATATTCAATGCCTAGTGCGTTCCTCATAACTACCCAGCTGGGCAGTACTCTTTTCCGATCTGCAGATGAGGACGCTGAGACAGAGAAGTTAAGTGGGTGGCCGTGGGGAGCACAGCTCTGCCTGAGTTTGCTGAGCTGTAGTTCATGTGTCAGACCTCGCTGCTTCCTGCAGAGAGCGGCGGGACAATGCCATTGCTGGCCTTGGGTCGCGCTGTCTGAGCAGGACTCCAGATTCCAGGAGGAGACCCAGGGCTCCTGTCAGAGATCAGGGGACTGTTCTCCACTTCCAGCTCATGGAGTATTTCTAGGGAGAGAGAGACTCCTGGATTTCTTTTCACGGTGATAATAAGGAGCTTTGATATTCTGAGTATGGGAGGAATCGGGGGCATGAGCACTGCAGAAGATGCTGAGGACCTTGGCCCCACACTAGCCTTGGGGCTCTGGGAGACTCAAAAGGAGTTAACAGCGGGCTGGGCTTGGGTCCAGGCCTCCTGACTTCTCATCCAGTGTCCACTGAAGCATGCCAATTTAGAATCCCTGAGAACGGAAAAACAGGCCTACAGGAAAATAGTAAAGTAGGGTAAAAACTGTTGCTAAATAAAATCTTCTGTTTTTCATAAAAATGATGTATCAAGTTGTTTATTTCTAACTTTTATATACAGTTAATATTGGTTCTGCTTAATTAAATTATGCATAATTGTTTTTTTCCTTTGGATATTTACACCAAATGCCTTCACAGATTATTGCACCAGCCTAGATATTTTCCTGAATTCAAGCTTCCTGGATCCAAGTCCTTGCTACATATCTTATTAGCAGTTACTCCCACAAGCATCACCCTTCCTGTTCTTCACTTGCTCACCTGCAGAGTGGGCTCAGTGATGGTGATAGTCACCCGCAGGTCACCAGGAGGACTGAACACCAGGAATATCTCGGATGTCCAGAAATATTTGCCCAGTGAATGTTAGCTGTAGTTAGAGAAATCTACTTTGGAAAGAACATTTCTCCCTCATGTTTAGCTCCCACGAGTCCCTTTGCTCCTGATCTGTGTGGTCAGAATGTCGGTAGGTGACACAGGGTGACGTGGCAGTCAGCACCAGAGCTGTGGGTGTGCACCTCACTAACACAACTGCTTTTCTCCTAGGTGGACCGGCACGAGGCAGGATGCTCTGGGGGCTGGCTCTGCTGGCTCTGTGCTCGTGGCCCAGTGCTTCCGGTGAGTGTGACGAGCCATGTCTCAGCTCGAGTGGCCTAGCCACAGGTGGGAAACCAGGAAGCAGCAGGGGTGGTATATTAATTTTTGAGCCTTCTGACTCCCTACCATATAGGTATATTTATTTACTTTTAAGTCATACAGCATGGAATGATTCATTTTTGGAAAATTTTAGTGTTAGGGAGAAATACCTTCTCACTTATGGGTAGGATTCTTGCTGTTTGAAACTCAGCTTTTCTGTGCCCTGTTTTTATAACACCACACATATCTTCTTTTCTTCCTGCTTTTTTCTGCCTGAATTATTTTTACCTTGAATATTTCTCCACGTATTTACTTCTTGCAACACGATTTTTACTGACTGTATAGTACTCCATTGCTGGTAAACTTTAGTGTTCTCAGAACAGTTCTCTGTGGACTGTTACTTTATTTTTGTTCATATAAATTAAGACACAAGGAATATTGTTATGAATGAATCATTACTGGGATTTGCCATTGCATCCTTTGGATAAATTATAAAGATAGAATTGTCATTTGAATAGAGTAGTCAAAAATTTTAATTATTTCCAGTGGCTCTACTGAAAGTGGTAAAATTCACACTTCTATCAGCAGTGGTGTGTATGATGTTTTAATGTGCCAAGGATTAGCTGAAAAGTTACTCTTTTGTAAAACTTTCTATTCAGTGTATTATTTTGAATTATTTAAACTGTTTTGATTTTGGCAAGATCTGATAACTTCTCCCCAGTAGTTGGACGGTAACTTAGACCCACCATTGTCTCAGATCCTCATGCATAGTGTGTGCTGGGATTCAGAGATTATATTTTCCTCAGAAACAAAATGATGCTCCCATAATTTGTCAAGGGTAGAAGACATCGAGGAAGCAGCGGATTCTTCAGTTGCTGTCCTGATCTCCGTCCCTAGCAAGGCTGCAAATCTGGGCTTTCAGGCCCTGCCTCCCAGGCTCTGGTGGTGGGGAGAGGGGCTGCCCAGCAGCTCAGGCCCTGGAGGGCAGGAGTGCTGCAGGTCACAGCACTGCCTCCTGTGTGAAGGGCTCGGAGAGGATGGGGCATGGGCTGGGGGGTGCTGGCTGTTGGCTCCCTGTGCCTGCTCCTTACCTGTCAGGAGGAGATGGCCCTTCTGCTTGCAGCCCTCTGATTCCCCCTCTACGGGGACAGTGGCTTGCATCACATGTGGCCTCGGGACCCTTGTAGAAAGGGTGAAAATCCTGGGAAGTCTGGGAGTTTCCATGCTGTAAAGTTGTGGTTTGTCACCTGGGTCCTGGCAGCTGGTGACCCTCCCACTATGGTTCCTTTGACAGCTGGTGACCAGGACGAGGACACTGTCTTTGACCTTTTCAGTATTAGCAACATAAACCGGAAGACCATAGGCGCCAAGCAGTTCCGAGGACCTGACCCCGGGGTGCCAGCTTACCGTTTCGTGCGGTTCGACTACATCCCCCCAGTGAATGCAGCCATGCTGGACAGGATTGTTGGGGCCATGCGGAGGAAGGACGGCTTCTTCCTCACAGCCCAGCTGAAGCAGGACCGCAGGTCCCGAGGCACGCTGCTGGCACTGGAGGGCCCGGGGGCCTCCCAGAGGCAGTTTGAGATCATCTCTAATGGCCCAGATGACACCCTGGACCTCACCTACTGGGTAGAGGGCACCCCGCACGTGGTCTCCCTGGAGGACGTGGGCCTGGCAGACTCCCAGTGGAAGAACATCACTGTGCAGGTGGCCAGCGAGACGTATAGCCTGTACGTGGGCTGCGACCTCATGGACAGCTTTGTCCTGGATGAGCCCTTCTATGAGCAGCTGGAGGCAGACAGGAGCAGGATGTACGTGGCCAAAGGTGCTGCACGGGAGAGTCACTTCAGGGTGCGTACTCAGTGGCGGCCATGGGGTGGCCACCTTACAATACAACCTTGATTGCAGTTTCTGAGTGACACAGGTGGAGTCCCACCTTGGGAAAAGTGCACAGAACGTACATAGCACATACATTCACATGTGTGCATACATGCACACCACCCACAGGCACACACACTTACACAAGCTGCATGAGCACCTTCATATATCACACATGGCCACACACTTGTAGCAGCCACATGAGTACACTCTTACGTGTACTCACACCACTCCTAGACACATATTTGTACACACCACACTTGTGCATGCATGTGCATGTACTTGCACAAGTGTGAGTGCACACCACACATCACACACTTGTGCACACAAAACCATACAGGACTGCAAAGCCATTTGCCGTCGTCATTTATATGCACACACCACACCCGTGTGCACGCATGAGCACCTATACACTCCCATCAGGCACCCAGAGGCACAGACACGCACACACTGCCACACCTGCATACACACACAGCACACACCTCCCGCACTGTGGGAAGAGTGCCTAGTTGCTCCTCCCTGCCCCAGGGGTCAGCGGCTGGGCTGAGGGCTGTCTGAGGACCCAGGTGTCAGTCTGTCATGGGTTTCTGGCAGCCCAGGGATTGTTTTGTTGGGGCTGAGAGCACTCTTGGGTTCTTGCTTTGGAAACAAAATGATGGGAGAGCTAATTAAAAACTCTCCTAAGCTAAGAGCTGCTGTTTGATGAAAGAACAGCTCTGTGTTGCTTCTTGTTAAGTTTGGAACAGGGTCTTCCTACACCGTGTGTACTGAGGACCTACAGCTGTGTCTGTACTAGTGTCCCCATTGACTGCTCCCCTTTGTGATGGTGTGAGAGACACACCTTCAGAGCACCACACTTCAGAGCTAGAGTTTGGATCTCTCCAGGTCTCATGCTCTGTAGTCTGACTGTCTCACCAGGCTGGGCAGCAGCAGCCACAGTGTCCGGTCAGCCACTGGCTACAGGGGACCAGGGCAAGTTGCAGGGCTCTGTCCTCAGCATACATTCCATAGGGTAGGAGTGCTAGATGCTTCTAGCCTGTGCTAATTTTACTCACAGTGGGTGTATCCAGATGAAGCTCTGTGGTAAGTCCAGGGGCATCTGTGCAGTGCTCTCCTCCAGACAGGCACATGTTCCTGGAGATAAATGCAGGTTAACACTCAGCTGTGTGAGGGAAAGGGCGTCAGACTCATGCCTGGTCAGTGGTTGCCTCTCTGGTGGCATCAGGGCACTTCCACAGCTGTCTGGTGCCACAGAGTGCTGAGGTCTCAGCCACAGGAAAGGATACCATGGTCCTTGTCCCCCGCAGTAAGTGGCCTGGAATGTCTGTCTGCGCGTGGCCAGATGACCTAATTCACTGCATTCCCTGGAGCCTCTTCTGTTCTTCTCTGTGGAGTGTTTGCTTATGGTTAGCACATTTTTCATGTTAAAGTTATTTTTTTGTGTCGTGTCTAAAAGCCAAGTTTCCAGAGTAACAGATACAGAAAAAAGCTGATTATAAGATTTCAAAACTCCCAATTCTAAACCAGAGAAGACAATATAGTGTTGGAAAACCTTTTCTTGTATGTTAAAAACATCACTTAGCTTTGCATCAGACACTTCCTGTTTGTGTTTTCTCAGGGTTTGCTGCAGAACATCCAGTTGGTGTTTGAGAACTCTGTAGAAGATATTCTCAGAAGGAAAGGCTGTCAGCAAGGCCAGGGAGGTATGTGTGCTGGGCACAGTGCATCCCTGTCCTGCTTCAGTGGGTTTCTGCTCTGCATGGGCACAACAGTGGCCATTCAACTAGAGATATTTGAGTAAAGTATTCTTACTATCGGTCAGGGAGGTAGCTTGTCTGTTTAGACATGTGATGTCTGAAAATGACCAGTTATCAACAGATTAATTTTGAATAGACTTCAATAATTAAAACAGAAATTTTACAAGCTAAAAAGTAAATTGTTAGTATTGTATTGTGATAAACATAGGCAGCCTTTCCAGTTTTGATGTGTGAAAGTCACCCACACACTGTGACATCACAGGTATTTGTCATACTTTTCTTTACCGTTCAGTCACAGTGAACTGACTCAGCCACACTGAAAATCAGTGCTGCTCGGCTCACTGAGAGCTGACAGATAATCCTGCACAATACCAACTCTTCCCTGGCATTTTGTGTTGCATTTCCGTGGTTTTCTTGAGCATTTAACTGGTGAGATTTGTGCACTGGGTTCTTTAAAAACAGGCTCATTATGAATGGCCTTCAGAATAACTTTATGAAACAGGCACTTTCATTGCTGTTGTTTTACAAACAAGGAAGCTGAGCCCCAAGTTGGGTGTGTCAGTTTCCCAATTCACCTGGGTGTGCTCCCTCAGGCCAGTGGTCTCCTGAGAAGAAATGCACCTGCTATGTGATTAGGTACTGTGGCGTTTTCCACTAGACCACTTCTTCCCTTCAGTTCGAAGATTAGGAAAACTATAAATTGCTCTTTAATGGATCACGTACCAGGAATGAATGTAGGCCTCTGTCTATAACTTGGAATGGGGCACCCATTGCCTGATTCTCAGTGAAGCGAGTACTGAGCCCTGCAGGTTGTCTGGGGCAGCCCTTCACTTGGGCCTGGCAGCATCCAAGCCTGAGCTGCGTGTGTCAGCCCAAGACCGCACACTCGCTCCTCTGGGTGGGTGAGGCACAAGGCAGGAGGAGTGTGTGGATATATATATGCTAATACATTCCCAGGTTGCTTTTGTGAAGAGACAGTGTGCCCTTAGCAGTGCCTGAGTTACAGAAACTCCTGCGCTGGACTTTGGTGTGGCTTGAATTAAGACGAAACCACCAGCAGCATGGTGGGACAGCCACCATGGCCATTAGAGGGTCAAATTAACGTCCTCAGGCAAACACAGCTACAGCTTTGTGTCAATAAATGCTGTTTTCTTGTTTCTAGCCACATGTGTGATAACAAGGGTAGCTTCCTATAATTCCTGAACACATGTTAAGCAGACATTTACAAATTAAGCCTTTCTTTAAAAATCAGACTTGCACAGAAATCTAGATCTATTCTTTCAAGATGAAGAGTTAGTATAGACCTAAGAATTTATAATACTCACATCCACATGAACAGCTGACTGTTATATCTCATGGAGCTGGTGGATCTTCACAGAAAGACTTTCCTGCTCCTGCACTGTTCTGTCAGACTAAAGAAGCCTGCTCTTACCAAGACAGCCAGTTCCTGCGTTGGTGCTGAGCAATGGCATGACCTCTTTGGCTGTTTGTTAAAAATGAGAATATCTCAGCTCTGCCAGGGGCCAAGTCACTAAAATTTCATAAGGGAAAATACTGGTATAGACAGGAAGGATGCAAAATGGATGAAAGATTTTACTGCCAACCAAACCAATTCATATTGCGGGTAGCGTGGTAAATAATACACATGCTATTTTTGCTTAAATATTAAAGAATGGAAAATGAACACTCCGAGTTAGTTAAATATATTTAAAATTAAAGTCAATTTGCTGAGTAAAATACACCTAGAATTAGTGTAAGGTAACGTCTCTATTAGGTACCCATACAGCTACTTACTATCTGTGTAGTTGGACTATGTTCTCAATTACATGGCTACATGTGTTATAGCATAATGATTTCAGGGTAGCTTCCAACCTTAGTTTGAGAATTGGATTGAGTGTTTATAACCAAGTCACAAAAACGTAATAATGGGATGGCTGACAGGACTGTAATGTACACATGTAAGGACTCAACAATGGAATGTCTGAAGGGAGTACATCTGTGGCTGTGGCCCCAGAAAGGAAGCTGCAGCCTGGATGTGCATGGATGAGGCCTCCCTGTCGGGAACCCTTGGGTCAGGCTTGCTCAAGACGCTGGGTTCTGAATCTGCCCTGTGTGAATGTGTAAATGATGTGTTTACCCACACATGCCCATAAATCGTGGCTCCAGGGAGTTTGTGCGATTTCTGGAGTAGTGAAGGCAAATGCCCACGGTCAGGCTCTCACTACTGTGAGTCTCCAGCCTCCCCTTCTGGAAGAACAACTGGTGGCAGGAAGGTTGGGAAAGGAGTTGGAGTCCTGAAAGCAGAGTGTGTGGGCGTGGGGAAGACTGCTTTCCAGGAAAGCAGGCTTGTTCAGGGTGAAAAGAAAGCAAGGGGAGATTGGAGAGTAGCTGCCAGGGTGCTCAGGAGCCTGTAAAGCACAGAGGACACCTCCAGGGAGCAGGGGGAGGCTCCAAGGTGTGCAGGTGCCTCAAGGGCATAGTGTGAGCCTTGAGCATACATGGGGAACCTCTGGGGTGCAGGGGGAGGCTCCAGGGTGCACAAAGTTGAAGATCAGATGTGATTGGGAGGTGAGGATATGAACGGAGAAGGCTGAAAACTGGGACGATCCCTGAGCTTATTTGACTCAGAGGAGTAGCGCAGCACATCTGCTACAGATATGTGCGTCTCCGTCTCCGAGCTGCTCTGCATTTTCTATTGGTAGGCTGCTCTTCTGCTTATCTGTGAAGCTTTTATATGCTAAGCTCATTGTTATGGTGTGGGAGAGTCCTTTCTGTTAAGTGGGATCCTAATGGGAAGCAGCAGCCTCCAGGTTCCTTGTACCTTGTTACTATGCAGCAGAGGTCAAGCAGGGTCACCGAGGGCCACGCAGGACAGGCTCACACTGAGCACCACTTACAGCTGGGTGAGAGGCCACAGTGGCCAGGGCCCTGACCTACTGTGCTTTCCCTTAGCTGAAGTCAACGCCATTAGTGAGCACACGGAGACCTTGCACCTGAGCCCTCACATCACCACGGAGCTGGTGGGCCACGGTGTGGATCAGAGGCCAGAGGTGTGCGAGCACTCGTGCGAGGAGCTGGCTAACATGATTCGTGAGCTGTCCGGGCTGCACGTCCTGGTGCGACAGCTGGATGACAACCTGAAGAAAGTGGTGCGTGCTCAGGGCAGAGTGGGTCGTGGGGATCCTTGGGGGGTGGCTCCTTCTCCCCCAGCTGGTCCTCAGGGTGGCTTAGCACTCACTGGTCTGGAAAGAGGTTGACTCCAATTAAAAATCTACTATTGGCCATGCATGGTGGTACACACCTGTAACCCCACTACTCTGGGAGGCTGAGGCAGGAGAATCACAACTTCAAGCCCAACCTGGGTGACTTAGTGAAACCCTGTCTCAAAATTTAAAACAAATTGTTGGGGATATAGCTCAGTGTGAAGTCCTGGATTCAATCCCTAGTACAGCAAAAAAGAAAAAGAAATAGAGTGATAGGATGTACTTTCTCCAAAATAAATTCCCAATTTGAGGAAGTTCATCTTTCCTGCCAGTTGAAGGGTACCTACAAAACCAGAAATGTCTTCTAAGGGCTGCCTGCAACAGGTTAGAGAAGAAGTGCTATGCCTGCAGACCGGTCACTGTGCAGTGCACAGGAGGCAGTCGGTGCTCATCACAGCACAGGAGGACCATGGGCTGTGGATGTTGACTAGCGGGGAGTAGTGAGCAGTGGGTGGTGGTGTCTTTGGCTGCATGCCCTGCAGGGAGGGTTGCATCTGGAACCAGAGTCCAGAAGTAGAGGGTGGTGACAAGAAGCGAGGGAGGGAGTGGGCAAGAGTGTGAGGCAGGAGGGGTCCGGAAGGGCATGCTGTTTGTCCAGGGACAGTGGTGTTGGTGGGTCAGTCCCCAGAGGCTGTGCCCACCACTCTGTCCCAGCACGAGGAGGTCCTAGTGTGCTGTTTTGCTGCAGTCCAGATGTAAGGGGACCAACAACCCCCACTCCTTTGACAGTGGGTGAAGGGGTCCCCGGAAGCCCACTTACGGTGAAGACCGTAGTGCTGGGGCACCCCAAGTTTGGAGTACATGTTCTGGAACCTTCCTCCAGGGATGTGGAAGGCAGATGTGGAGTGGATCTCACCTGTCCATCCACTCACAGACCTCCTGCTTCCTGGGGAGAAGTTACCAGCGCCAAGGCCTCTGATGGTCTTCATGATGGGGCTCCTTCCTGCTGCAAGGCTACCTGTCCTGTCATCGTGTACTCCTTGGGCAGCACCATTCAGCCTCGGGTGTCTAGGGAGAGAGTGACCCAGCTGGGTAGAACCCTGGTGATGCAGACTGGGCCAGACCTGGCCTGGAAGGTGGGACCAAGGGTTGTGCATGGCCTGAAGCCCCTCACTTTCAGAGGCAGCCATCTCTAGGACAGGTCCTTGACTGGCAGGCAAGGACCAAGAACATTTGTGGACAGAGAAATCGGCATCGGTGTGTTTCTGTGCATTTGTGTATGGGAGGGTCCATATCATTCATCAGAACCCACAGGCCCTGTAGTCCCCAAATGAGGAATGGCCACCAGGAGAAATAGCTATGTACAGAGAGTACAGAGGAGAGCAAAGCATTCCTGCTTAGTGCCTTTTGCTCATATCTATAACCTTGAGACTGCTAGAGTCACAACCCTCAATACCTTGCCTTTGTATTGTCAGAATAGCACCTATCAGATCTGGTGAACAAAGGAAGAATGAGTGAATTCACAAACAGCACGTTGGTGCTGGCTGCAGTGGACAGTGGCCTCTACAGTGGCCTCTCCTCTCTCCCCAACCTCTTGCCTTCAACCACGAGGTGTGCTCAGTGCAGAGGACCCATGTCAGGTCTTAAGAGTGGAGAAGAGGTTGGAAGCCCCCGTGAGGGTGGAGACAGTCTGCTTGGCTCTGGGCTCTGGTGTGATTCTACCTCAACAGAAGGTTCCTGGGGGCCTGCGTGTCCTCTGCCCACCTCCCCTAGGCTTTCGTGCCTTCATAGTCACCTGCTGGTTCTGTTTCTTGAGTTGAGAGTCCTCAGTTAAGGAGGGATAGGCTCCTTCACCTACAAGCACCACAGCCGGCTGTGCTCAGTTCTTGCCTGTACCTAACGTTACCTCTATTTCCAGTCCAGTGATAACCAGTTTCTCTGGGAGCTCATCGGGGGCCCTCCCAAGATGAGGAACATGTCAGCCTGCTGGCAAGATGGCCGATTCTTTGCAGAAAATGAGACATGGGTGGTGGACAGCTGTACCACCTGCACCTGCAAGGTGAGAACCCAACATCCCATTTTCGGGGGCAGGAAGGCCAGGTACAGAGGATGGCTTTTGCCACCGCTAAACATGGCATATCTTACCTACCTGGGTGTGGCATCACTCAGGGACAAATGTAGAATGTGTCAGATGCACAAAGAGGTTGAGCAGAATGGTCAAGAAGTGGAAGAAGCTGTGAATATGATTTGAATCAACCTCTTTGTTTTGCACACAAAGAAATAATAACCCACATGGTGGCATGATATGGCCAGTGCCACCAGGTGGCTAGATACAGCTGGCATTGGCTGTGTAGACTTTTCTCTGGTTTGTTTGCCCCTGTTCAGTTCCCATGAGCCACTGATGCTTAACGGAAACTCCTGCAGTGACAGGAGTCATTGTGGCACATGCTGGAGGTGCTACAGCTTTTTCTCCTCCCTCAGCCTAGGCCCAGGGATTCAGGCATTAGGTTGTGTTATTCATCCTTTCTCCTCTCCTGCCAGAACATGGGAAAGTATTGCTGTAGTCTTGTTGCTGGATGATGGGAGAACAGAAGCACCTGGTGGGATTGGGGTGGGGAGCAGTGTTCATCTCTCATTTACGATCTAAGCTGTGACTTCTGTGAATCTGTGCGTTGAAGCCATCCAGTACACTTCCGACACTTTTCTGTTAGCCCAATTCCCAAGGACTACTACTTGTAGATGTGTTTTCTATAATCATCTTTTTTACTTTCAGAAATTCAAAACTGTGTGTCATCAAATCTCTTGCTCACCAGCAACATGCGCCCACCCGTCCTTTGTGGAAGGCCAGTGCTGCCCTACCTGCTCTCATGGTAAGCCTGCCACCCATGTCCGGGGTCCACCTGCTCCAGAAGGAAGCTGATGGGGAAGCAGAGGGACATCTCAGGGCTCTGGCTGCCCACTGGCAGCTGGAGTCTTAGGAGATTAGGGACCAGGGCCAATCCCCGCCGTCCCTGCTCAGATGCGGAAATGGACTCCTGGGGATCCGCAGGAACCAAAGACCCTGGAAGCTTCTGATCCAGATGTGGTCCAGGTATAGACCACTGTGAGTCAGTGACCTCAACTAGGTCTGGGGTGTGTGAGGACAGTGAGTTCCTACCCCATTGCACCATGAGAAAACAGACACATGGAAACAGAGGCCTTTACCCAAGCTATGGAGTCAGAGGTCTGTTCCAAGTGGCAGAGGCTGAGATTCAGAGAGGAATTGTGCACTGGGCTGTCTGGGGCCTGGCATAAGATAGAGAGAGATCAAGCTGACCCCAGAACTTGCTATGGGCCCTGTGCCCTCCACACCTCACTGGAGGCAACTGTTGTTTTCTCCCAGAGCCTGGACCCCTGGGCTCCCTGGTGCCAACTCCATTGTAGTGCAAGTGAGGTACATCTGAGACTCCTGGCCATTTAGAGTGCTTTCGGCTTAGTTCCTATCCTGCACTGGACAGAACCTCATCACATACCCAGAAGCAATGGTGGTGCTGCCACCTGGGATGATTCCCTGCTCTCATCTGCTTTCCTTGCAGGACTGAGAATCCTTTGCAGGACATTCCCTTCACCTTTAAGAGACCAGTCTTGGAAAGCGAGTGCCCTGTAATTTGGGCACTAGATCTCATCTGCTTCCCTTTCTTGGAGTCTCAGCAGAACTGTACATGGCTGGACTCAGTGTCTGACTTGTTCCTATGCTGCCTTTGTCCTCATGGTCTAATGCATACCATGAGGTCAAGGGCTCAAGGCTTGGATGTACTGCCCCACTTGTGTGGAGGTGCATCTAGTGCCTCCTTCCATGGGGTGCATTCTCCCCCATTAGGGACACAGACAGGGACTCAGGCTGACCAAGGGATGCAGACCAAGAGACCCAGGCAGAGGAACCCAGAGGGGGTGCCCAGAGGGTAGATGCATTCTCTTCTAGCCCTAGCAGGGGCACACTGGAGGCAGAGGAGCCCCTGGCTGATGGCCCCAGGACTAAGTGTGGTCCTCAGGAGGCTGAGCACTGGATATACAGAAGACAGGTTTGGCAGAAGCCAGGCTTTGTCACTGTGATCTCTAGATGTGATCTCTCTGAGGTTCAGAGTCATTATCTGTGAAGCACAGAGAAACTATCCCCAATTCCCCAGTAAGTCTCATGCTTGAAATAAGCCACACAGTGAGCAGGCCAGTTCCCAGGACTAATTTAGAGTCAACCCACTGGTTGGGCAGCATAGAGATACATGAAATTAGTTCTCTCCATGATTCTGGTCACAAACCAAGTTAGATGAGAACTGAATCAAATTCAATGGTTAGGTTCAATGTTGACCTGTACTTCTGTACAAGGATGACAATCTCAGCGTCCAGCCAGATAAGGGGGTGTTCTGGGTGTCGAGGCCACAGTGGCACAGCAATTAAGGGCCCCCCACATGAGGGTCTCTCTCATCTTGCACCCTCCTGTCCCATGTTCTTGCTTCCTGGAAGCTTTGGTCAGTGCACATGCAGGGCTTTGTACTTATGTTCACTGGAAAGCTCTCCTGCCCTAAGTTACTGCCTTTGCTCTCATTTAGGGAATGCAATCACTTGTGCAGAATTTCCCTGCAGGAAGCTGCTTTTTTACTTAATTTCTCTTGATTTGAATTATTTGGAAATGAGTCATGTGACCTCTAATTTCAACCAACAATTGCAGTGTAATATTAACATATGGAAAATAGTAAGCAGCAGGTTAAGTCTTCCTGCAGATGTGAAACCAGTGCTGTCTTTTTGAACTGTTTTTTAAATCTTTTGAGCATCTTCCCTGGATGCACAGAGCAAGCTCCTCACTCTGGCTCTGTGGTGGGCTCAATCTTACCTTGGCAGGAAGCTGAGTCCTGGTCCAGGCCACAAGCCTTCACACTGCTGGGCCTGTTTACTTGCAGGCCACCAACACCTCCATGTCCTCGGCTAGGTGTTCACCCTGCCTAGGCTCCTGAACCCTGAGAGAGAACTCGGCCTCAATGTCTATCCGGTTCTTCCCCAGCTTGTCATGAGGGATCTGACTCCCTGTGCTTTCCTCCCTCTCTAGAGGTGGACGGCGAGGAGGGCTGGTCTCCATGGTCAGAGTGGACTGAGTGCTCTGTGACATGTGGCTCTGGAACCCAGCAGAGGGGCCGGTCGTGCGATGTCACCAGCAATACCTGCCTGGGGCCCTCCATCCAGACTCGGGCTTGTAGCCTGGGCAAATGTGACACACGCAGTGAGTGTCAGCTACCTGTCCACACCATGTGTAACTCTGACTCTTGGCCATGTGGGTTGGAGGGACAAAGGTGCCTCTGGGTTTGGGAGACCTTAGCTCTGAGCTGCTATGTCCCCGGGAAGGTGGGCTCTCCCTTCCCGTTGCCAGCTCAGAAGCATGGCACAGCCCAGAAGGCAGCCTGAGACCTGACCTCTTTCTGTTAGTCCGGCAGAATGGTGGCTGGAGCCACTGGTCACCCTGGTCCTCCTGTTCGGTGACCTGTGGAGTCGGCAACATCACACGTATCCGCCTCTGCAACTCCCCGGTGCCCCAGATGGGAGGCAAGAACTGCAAAGGCAGTGGCCGGGAGACCAAGCCCTGCAAAGCTGACCCCTGCCCAAGTAAGCATCACCCTGGGTCCAGGGGGTGGGAGTGGGTGGGGGCACAGAGCTCAGAGCTGGGGGCACTACAGCCAGGGGTCCTGGCCACCAGGGCCTGTCCCTGCCCATGGTAGCCAACACAGCTCCAGGTTCTGTGGCCCCAGGCTTCATGGGGTCACAGCCAAGGCCTAGCTCACCTGAGTTCAGCACAGGCTGCAGTCCAGTCCCCAGTCCCCAGTCACCTGTGCTTGAAGAACAATAAGCCAGAAGTGTGGATTCAGATTGGGAGGAGCGATAGATGTGCAGAGCCTGTCTCACAGAAGGACCTTCCCTGAGTCTGTTCCAAGTCAGAGCTGTGGCTTCGGGAACACATGTGGTTCACAGCCCAAGGGCTTCTCCCGGAAGCTGGTCCTCAAGGCACATGAACATAGCATGATGGCTTTCATGCAGGTTTATGCATTTGTGCAACTGTGGGTGGCCACCATGGACAGCGAGTTTTCATCTCACAACGTAGCATCTCAGACCCCACCTTGGTTAAGAGCCCTGGACTTCTAGCTACGGATAAGAGAGTGTTCACTCAGAGATACAAACGAACCATCATAATTCTGTCATCTGTGTCACTTGCTGATTGTGACCAAGGGAGGACCTTAGCCCAATCAGTCCTTCCTACCTGTAACTCAACTGTAGGAGAAGGAAAGCAATTCCTTTTGCCTTGTAGGAAGCAGCCCACACTGCTCAGCTTGCCCTCTGTGCCTCACAAAGCTGATCTTGCTGTGTACTTTGTTCACCCCATCTGAGCCCCTTTCTTGGCTCTCTCGGCAGTTGATGGCGGATGGAGCCCCTGGTCCCCATGGTCGGCCTGCACGGTCACCTGTGCCGGAGGAATCCGCGAGCGCGCGCGAGTCTGCAACAACCCTGAGCCGCAGTTTGGGGGAAAGGACTGCGTGGGGGATGTGAAGGAGTACCACATGTGCAACAAGAGGAGCTGTCCTGTAGGTAGGTACACAGGCTGAGGGGTCACACCAAGGAGGGCACAGGTTGTCTGAGGAGCTGCCCACACTGAGTGGATGTGTCTGAGAAAACAACTGGCTTTTATTTGGATGCACAGTGTATCAGTTAGATTTCCTGTTGCTGAGACACAACACCTAAGACTTGCAATGTAAAGAAGGAAAGGTTAATTTGGCTTAGGGTTTCAGGAGATTTAGTCCATGGTCAGCTAGCTCCAAGACAGGAGCATCACAATGGAAGTAAAGCTGCTTAGTTCATGGTGGCAGGAAGCAGAGCAGAGGAACTGTGCCAGAGAGGAAGAGGAGATAGAGGGACTTTGTAGCATTCCCAAAGCCATGGATCCATGCCCCACCCAGACACATGCAGGAGTGTGCTCTACTAATCTGCTCAGAGTTTCCCAATCTAATGGAGTTGACATGTCAGGATTAACGGTCACACACAGTGTAAGTATTTGTGGAAAACACTTGGAAACATAGAGGAAAAAAATATGTTTGAACAGCATAAAGACAACTGCTTTTGGGCTCTGTGTTCTGTTCCTTCCAAATTTTTATGTGAAAGCAGAAAACGTGCAATACAATGTGGACGCTGAACAGGCAAGGATCCAATGTGTGTGTGCCCCCTGTTTTTGGTCTGTATTTTTTGATTCTGGGAATTGAACCAAGGCCTTTGCACTGAGCTACATCCTCAGCCTTTTTTATTCTTTTACTTTTGAGACATTGTCTCAACTCAGCTACTTTCTCATCACTGAAACACAATACTCAACACCACAACTGTTAAGGAGAAAAGGTTTATTTGCTCACAGTTTGTAGAGGTTTCAGTTCAAAGTTGGCTGACTCCAAGGCAGAGTTGCATGGCAGAGGGGCATCACAGAGGAGAAAGTTCATGACATGGTGGAGCCAAGCAGAGAGAGAGAAGGACGAATGGGGAAGAGATAAACCTTCTGGGCCACACCCCCGGTGACCCACCTCTTCTGATCAGATCCCATCTCCTAATAGCAAGCCAGCTATGAACTCACCAGTGGATTAATCCTCTTATGATTATGAGGGGTCCAATATCCAACCACCTTCCAACACAGGGCAGGTGACAGGTGCAGGGATTCACTTCCTTTTGCAGTGCTTTGAGCTGAGCTGGGCAGGTGCCACCACACCCTGGCCTCATCTCTGCCTGCCTCTCCCACAGATGGGTGCTTGTCCAACCCCTGCTTCCCTGGGGCTGCGTGCAACAGCTTCCCAGACGGGTCCTGGTCCTGCGGCTCCTGCCCAGTGGGCTTCCTGGGCAATGGGACTCATTGTGAGGACCTGGACGAGGTGGGTGCCCCAATCTTTGGGCAACAGGGCACACTGTGGGGATCAGAGGGCCATGGCTCATGTCTTCTCATCCCCGCAGTGTGCTGTGGTTGCAGACATCTGCTTCTCTATCAACAAAGTTTCCCGCTGCATCAACACTGAGCCTGGCTTCCACTGCCTGCCCTGCCCACCACGCTACAAGGGGACCCAGCCCTTTGCAGTGGGCCTGGAAGCAGCCAGAACAGAAAAGCAGGTGAGCAAGGCTGGCCTTTCCTGGATATTGGCACAGCTTAGGGTAAAAAAATGAACTGAGAAATGGAGGTGGGATAGGGAAGGGGGGAAGTTGCATTGTTGGGGAGATCTGGGGAGGTACCTACCTCTCATAAATGAGGCTACCAGACCCCATCCAACTGGGCCCCGTGATGGCCCCAGGGGAATTCAGATCTGAGTTTTTATGCAGGAGTATATGAGCATTGAGGTAACAATTTTCTTCTCTATGTCAATAAGGTTTTAGTTTATTTTGTGTTGCTATAGCAATTTATAGGTAATTTATAAAGAACAGAGACTCATTTCTACAGTTCTGAAGGCTGGAAGTCTTAAAGGTGGGTCGGGCTATCTGGTGAGGCCCCCACGTTGTGTCTGTCACCAGGCAGGAGGCAGAAGACAGAAAATGCAGGAGAGGTCAAGACTGAGTTCTCGGCCACAGCCCTTGCACAAACAGCAAGACTCTTTCACCAGAGTGAGATCCTTGTGACCTAGCACTGTCCCTTGGGCCCCACTTCCCATCACAGTCTTCTTGGAGATTTCCTTTCTACACATCCTTTTCAGGGACATGGTCAAACCATAGCAAGCAGCACCACGTGCTGAGCCACAGGCAGGCTCGGAAATGGTCCCCACAGCTCAGGGACCATGGAAAACTGCCTCAGGACACTTTTTGCAAGGATAAAACTCCCTGTTTCTAACTCACACCTGGCTTTGATCTCCCCTGCACCCTGGGGGTCACTCCAGGGCCTGTGTCAGTCCATCCTGTATTGTCTGGTCTATAACCCGTGTGCCCCTGGGTCCCCAGGTGTGTGAGCCTGAGAACCCTTGTAAGGACAAGACTCACCACTGCCACCGGCATGCAGAATGCATCTACCTGGGGCACTTCAGCGACCCCATGTACAAGTGTGAGTGCCAGACGGGCTACGCGGGCGACGGGCTCATCTGTGGGGAGGACTCAGACCTGGACGGCTGGCCCAACAGCAACCTGGTCTGTGCCACCAATGCCACTTACCACTGCGTCAAGGTGAGGCCTGCAACCCCATAGGCTGACATAGACCCACACTTTACCTCCTCCCATAGTGGAGAGGACTCTTAGTCAGGAGAGATTGGTCAGCTTTTGTCACTGCTGAAATATCCACGGAAACCGACTTAGCAAGCAGAGATTGACCGGTCACATGGCTCTATTGGGCCTGTGGTGAGCAAGCACAATGTGTCAGGACCATGAGGCCAGGGAAGCCAAGAAAGGAAAGGGCTAGGTCCCAGTGTCCTCTCCAAGAGTACCCCTAGTGACTACATGCCCTCCCACTAGGCCACCTGCTTAGGCTGTCCCTTGCCCTATGGTGCTGGAGGCTGGGACAAAGCTTTCAGTATCTGGGTCTTTGAGGAACACTGCAGGTCTACATCATGGCAAGGAATTGGAGCCCACATAGCAAGAACCTGTTGGTCTAAACAATGAGAAACTACAGTTGCTGGTTTCCTCCTATGTCCCACGTGTGTTCTGTATTTTAGACAACAGTATGTTGGTCAAAGATTTTCCCAAATTACGGGATGAAGGATATGTGGGTTGGACTGGCCTGGCTCTGTCCCCATCATGCAAGCGTCTGGCCCAAAGGGTTACAACAGGTCTGAGCCCCTCCTTTAGCTCCCCTGTATTGCAGGCCTCTTACTACAAGCAGTCTTCCTCCCTACCTGTGGCCAGGACCTGGGGGTCCAGGTGCATCTGAATGTTCACATTCTGAATTCATGAGTTCAGCATTGAGCGAGGGGCAAGGCAGCAGCCTCATGCACCTTCCCGCAGTTGGGTTGGTGCACTCAATTGAGAGCAGGCTTCCCACTTCCCATTTGCTTTCTATGAGGAGGAAATAGGGGGTGGTTTCAAGTTCTGAGCCTCAGTTAACAAACAGGTCATACACACCCACAAGGGCTCCTTTTTTGAAGACTTGCTGGCTGGCTCTGTGTTTCTGGAGGAAGGGCTGGAGCTTCTGCGTGGCTTCTCCTCTTGCAGGAAGTAATAGACTCATCCCCCTCCTGTCTCCGCAGTCCTTTGGCAGCCAGCATCCCTGGACCAGGGCTCAGAATGCAGTGCCTTTGTCTCAGCTCACTGGCACTGGTGACAGGATTGCTAAGTCAGTATCCGGACAGCAAAGACAGCCCCGGCCCAATGGCATGGGCCTATTTCTCCGCTTCCTATTGAGCATAGATGTCCCACATTCACATCTGCAGAGCCACACTTCTTGCTTTGTTTTACCTTTATGTGGAAAGAAGGGGCTTTTCTGAATGTTTTCATGATTATCATGCCTTTTGTAATTACAGGACAACTGCCCCCAACTCCCCAATTCTGGACAAGAAGATTTTGACAAGGATGGAATTGGTGATGCCTGTGATGAGGATGATGACAATGATGGAGTGAGCGATGAGAAGGTAGGGCACAGTGCCCTGTGACAGCTTCCCGTGAGCTCAGGAGCAGAGGCCACAGGAAAACAGGGTTCTTTTCTTCTTCTCCTCGCTTCCTTTCCCTTCCCTTCCCTTCTCTTCCCTTCCCTTCCCTTCCCTTCCCT